TCAAGGACGTCGGGAGCAAATCCGAGCCCCAGCGCTGCGCGGGCGGCCCCGGGTCGGGGCTTCCCGGGTGACGGAGACCCTCCCGCACCCACACCCGCCGCGAGCGTGTGTTTTCCGAGAGCTCGGCAAGTTCTCCCGGGCTCTCCCTGCACACCCGCACGTCGGCCGCCGCTCCCCGCCCTTCCCCGGCAGGCAGAGGTAGGAGCCGTGCCGGGGAGAGGTTATTTTGGAACTTTGAGACACTGACGCGGTTGGCAGTGCGAGAAAGTGCCGGAAAAAGGGCTCTGCGTTCATCCTAGGGCGTGGAAAATACATAAGGAAAGGGGCTCGTGGGTGTCAAGGTCAAATGAATGGAGTTGGAAGGGAACTTTTGCACAGGGTGCGTCTCTGGGAAGACAGTGTGGCGGTTCCTAGAAACCCCTCTCCGGCGGGGGGTGGGGGTGCTGTGTGTGTGTGTGTGTGTGTGTGTGTGTGTGTGTGTGTGTTCCAGCCCGCTGTGTGTCTGTGTGCGCGCGCACTTGTGTGTGTTTCCCCTCCTGTCTCAAGTTCTCCAGACTTGTGCACAGTGATAGAAGCATGCATCAGAAACATCGTCTGACTCCCCACCACCAGGGAAAGTAGTGGGATAGTAGAAGCTTACAGACAGCACGACACCCCACTCCACCCCTATCTCTTTAAGAGCAGGCAGGGCCGCACAGGCCCTGGCACACAGTAGGTGTTTAGTAAGTGCTGACCTCGTTCCTTCCAGCCCTGAAACCTCACAAAGACCTTGTTTGTGTCTTGGCCCCAATGACCTGCAGGCATCTCCAGCGGATTCCAGGCTGACCAAATTCTGGATTCAATTTATGGGATCCTTAAAACAATAAGGATATGATTATCCTTATTGTTCTAAATTATTACAGTAAACTGAGTTAATGTGGCGTGAGAGGCAACATAAAGTTGTGGTTCATCAAAAGCCCAGATTAATGTTAAGCATGAATTGATTCCCAGTTAACACTTTTCCATTAATTTTCATAGGATTAGGAGGCAATAGAGTACACTCAACACCAAAAACCCCAAACCTGGTCGGTGTGCCTTAGAAAAGTGGAGTCTTTGCAAAAACCAAACACCAACCAGAGTCCTAGATGAAAGACCCTTAATTTCCTTGTCTCCTAAATGGGGATAACAACTCCTCATGGCAGGGTGGATGAGGTGGGGGTGAAAGGTGGAAGTGAGCAGAAGTTGTCAAAAGCCCCTTTTCTTTACAAATATATGTGGGTGGTGTTTATCGTGGATCATTATTTAATAAGACTTTTTAGAAGTGCCTTTAAGGCCTGAAACCACAAACCCGAGCATTTCCCGGCACTCCAAGCTGCTTCCCCGAACCATCTTGGGTCTCCTGGCGTCTTGGGGAGCCAGTTGTTATTAAGGTCATTGTGTATGATAGTTCTCCAGAACAAAACACAGACAGCAGAGCTCACTGGATTGCGTGCTGAGTTTTCAGTAGTAGAACCACAGGCCACTGGAGGTAGCAGAGCCTTTCAAACTGGGCCAGTTTACTCCAGGTTCCCAGAGACATTCCCCAAGCTACCCTACCCCATCCCACCCATACCTCAGTGAGGGACAGGGCCGACTGGTTCTGCTGTCTGCTTACTTATATTATCCCTCTCAAAGCGATGGGAGAGTGGGCTGCCCTTCTTCCCTGTTGTAGAGATGGATGCTGCTGCTGCTGCTAAACTGAATCAAAACCTTGCGAGGGACCCGGGGCAGCAGTTACCCAGTCAGGGACTGAGAAAAGAGACGTGAAACCCCCATGATTGCACTGCATCTTACTTTTCATTTGCATCCAGTATAATTATGTCCAGTACGGTACGTCTCCTAACATTCGGTGAGTTCTGACAAAGGCATAGAGTTGTGTAACCACCATCATCAAGATGCAAAGCAGTCTCATCGTTCAAAAAAAAAATCTCTCATGCTGTCCCTTTGCACTGTATTATTTATAATAGCTTATTATTATTATTATTATTATTACCATTAACTAGAATGCATTTCTTTCTCAGCTCGCTAACCCAATGTGGCCCCTGGGTCAGGAGAATGCCAGCCGCGGGTTAATGTCAGTCCTCCTCCTCCCATACCACCATGGAACACTCTCTTGCAGCCTGTGTGGGTGCTTGGTCTCCTTGATGCCCACGCTGCCCTGGCGGTCCTGCTGCCTCCCCAGCCATTCCCTCTGGATCTGCCTGCCCTAACTCTTCCTCATCTGCCTTTCTTTCAAGGTTGGTCTTCATCCTCACCCCGTCCCACCTCTTTCAGCTACACTCCTTCCATGGACGACCTCTTCTGCAAACTCACGGAGTCCGCGCCAACTCCTAACCACCCTGGAGCGCAGGGTAGATCTGTCCCTGTGAAGTTTTGAGACTAACTCTTTATGGGAGTAGAAAGCCCGTCTTTCTCAGGCAGAGTCCGGTGGCTTCCGGCTGCTGGCCTCCCTGGCCATCAGGGTCCCTGACCTCTTCTGGAGGAAGGGTTTAAATATCACCTGCCCCTCAAATGAACATCTCCAGCCCTGGAATTCCTATAGGACTCAAGAAGCACCTATCAATTTCCTATTCGACGTTTCTACTTGATTTCCCTATCGTTGTTGGGGTCGGTCCTCCTCTCACAGTCACCCCCGTTTTATGACAGCCCCATGAACATTAGGAGGAAACTCCACCTGGCCGTCACCATCCCTGGGATCAGCTATAGAGCGAACCATTGTAATCTGAAGGATTTTCTTTGACTCGTGACATAGGGAACCCTGGGTGGCTTAGGGGTTACTCACTGGGCTGCAATCTGCATGGTCCACCAGTTCGAAACCACCAGCAGCTTGTCAGGAAAGACTGGGCTTTCTACTCCTGTCAACAATTGGTTTCAGAAAAACCCTGGATCACTCTGAGTCAGCATCGACTCGATGGCAGTGAGGTCTTTATTGGAGAGTGGCTTCGTGGGTTACACATGGGGCTGCCAACCACAAGGTCAGCGTGTCAAACCCACCAGGAGGAGAATGAGATGTTCTGCTCCTGTAGAGATTGACACGGCTTCAGAAACTCACAGAGGCAATTCTATGAGTTGGAATCAACTCAAAGGCAAGTGGCCGGGGAGGGGGAGGGAGAATTTTTGAAACACATCACCAAGCCCTTGTTCCTAGCCCTCTTCGCTGGAAGCTCCACTGAAACAAGCCCTTGCTGACAACGCTTAAGAAGCATTGTCCAGAAGGCTCACCTGAGTCTTCTGCAAGAAAGGTGAAAATTCCACTACCGAGGTACCCCAGACTCAAACATGCCCAGACATGCTTACACATGCTTTTTACCTTCCAAAAATAATCCTCGTTTAAGATCCCCCTCGCTGGTGAACAAGTGAGACAGCAAGGCTGAACCTCTTCTTGCATCTTCTTGTGTTCAATCCATCTTGAGAGCCTGTTGGTTTTATCTCCAAGTAGATGTCAAACTCGCCATTC